AATACATATTAAATATAATTAGAGAAACATAATTGACTTGTGAAGGCTGATTCATATAGTGTAATATTTACAATTGTTATTATTTAGTATATAAAGTCTATATATATATATATCTTAATTAATTACTACATAGTAAAAGAATAGATCATACAATTATTCTAATTGATTGTTATATGTACAATTATATGTATATGATCAAGCAAAAATGTATCATCTATTAAAATATTAAATATAGTAGATTGTCCGATAAGTTCATGCAGTTTTTAACGTTTATTTATTTAGAAAAAAAATCGCTTGAACTTATCGGAAAACTTAATATTATCATGGGTTATTAAAATCTATATGCAAAATATTTCAAAATACATTAAGTAATGTACAAGAAAGATTAATTTTGCATTTATAATTATACAAATTCGATATATTAAAACAATCGTCTCGCATTTATCATATCATACAATTTATATTCATTCAATTAATTCAATTTTTACTAGTTTTGCTTTGTTTTTTTTTCTAATTTTATATTAAATGCTTGGCCTCAAAAATATTTCTAAATTTTATGAACTTGGCAGTATTTCGAGAACATTATTATCATTCTATGTATAAATATATATACATATACATAAATAATTTTGTAGAAAAAATTTTTTGATAATTAATCGACTAATTGATTACAAAAATCTATTTATATAATATAACATTTTCACGATTTAACTTCATACATTCACTATCATTCATTCCAGTTCACACGTTATTAATTATTATGGCCAGAAGAGGAACTTTTATAAATATTCATTATTATATATTTCCAAAAGAATTATTGCTAATTTAGATCACTTTTTATTGTTCATAAATATACGCCTATGGTTGTATAAAACATCGTGTATAAAACATTACTCAAGTTCTCAATCATTTTTTTCTTGTACGCACAGGAAAAGTTTTGCGCAGAACATATTAAGATTATCTGCAATTTAATAAATAATTTTAATTTTAATATATATATATATAAAGACTAGTAATTTTTGAAATGAATTAAGCGAAAATACTTACGCGATGCCGATACTAGCCACGTTGGTTTGTTTTTCCAATGTATAAAAATCCAATATACAGGAATACCAGAAAATATAATAATTATTCCTACTCCTACTTCCCATGGTGATACGTAGCAAGGAAGAATAACCAAAAATGTACAAATGATGAAAAATATTACAGGTAATGCTATAGATACCTAAACAAATGAAAAAGACAAAACAAAAAGAAAAAAAATTAAAAGTAACACACACACACACAAACTCGTAAAATTGTATATCACTTTACGAATAATATCTGTTATAACAAGTGGTTACTTATATTAAATAAAACTATTTAAACGTTTTTACCTGGAGAATATCTTTAAAAAATAATAATAATTTATTACCAAACAAATTGTTGATAACAGAAAATGATAGATGATAGATATTTCCAGTTAGAAACATTGTAAATTTGATTAGAAAGAAAACTCAATAATTAGTTGTATATTGAAAATTAATTTATGAATGAATTAAAACAGGATATAGTAAATTAAAAAGAACAAAAATTAATTAATTAACTAATGAAATACCTTTATTGGCCTATGAAGATCAGGTCTTTTGTAACGCAGCCACAAGAGGCCAGATACTGAGAGCGTGGTGAACAGTGCTTCAACGAAGCTAACATAATTGATCAGTACATAGACATCCTCTATGATCAGAAGTGCCAGGGTGATAATGCTCTAGAAACGGAAATTACAGTTTAACGTTTAAATTGGGAGTTCGCGCTCAAGTGCAGAAAAATTATTCTCTTCTAATGTCTACAGGTGTCTTGCTTATCAATTGTTATCTTAATTTAATAATTGCTATCATTTATAATTAATTATCTCTCTGATATTAATTAACAATTTTTATTGTAATAGCATAAGATGAGAAAATTAAATGATAGAAATATTAATTAACAAGTAATGATATCAAATTGATTAAGGATTTAATATTGTATTAGTTTAAATATGCTCTTTGACTTGTATCAGTGTAGTATTGAAATGTTGGAGTTGACCTCTAGGTCATCCAGGTCAAATAACGTTCTCACAAACGAAGGAACAAAGACGAAAGGGATACTTCCGCTGTTTATTATTAAAGAGACGGTCAGCGACATGAAAGATCCAATTTATTACTCTCAATTAGCGTGCGCCGCAAAACAAGACGATAGTTTAAATCTCGAATATCTTACATGTTACTTACAAGTTATATTAATGGAATATTATTATTATTGTTGTTACTGTTATTATCATCATTCATTAATATTTTTTAATTTTCAGAAATAATAAAAATTAATGATATGGGTATTTTTTATATAACAATGGTATGAAATTATTTTTAAATTTTAATTGAAAAAAAGAATAAAAAAGAAAATACTTACCAGAAATATGAGGGAAGGCATTGGAGTTAGATTTTGCACATTAATTAATGCTATGGCAGCAGGCAAATGACCATTACGCGCACCAACGAAAAATAATCTTGAGGAAGCAAAAATCGCACCGTTCAATGCACCAAACGTCGAGCACGCTACGAAAAAGGGCATGATCCATGACATTACTCCTAATAATTTATTACCAAATGTCTGGAACGAACAAATAAAAATAATATTGAATGAATTAATTGATCGATAAATAATATTATACATAAATGTAAACAAACAAGAAACTTACAACAGCGACTGCATTAGATGCAAGTATCTCATCTTGTGTCAATACAACAAAATAAGCGACGTTTGCCAAAACATAAATCACTGTCACTAATGGGAGAGATATGCATATTGCTCGTGGAAGATTTCTGTAAATAATATTATTAGTAAATATATAAATAATATTGATTAAACATATGATTAATATCGTTGCGACGTGTTGCAACGTTTAAACAATATTTTCTAATATTGTTGTAAAAGAAAAATATTTTTTATGTATATATATATTTACTTGTATGGTTCTTTCAATTCTTCCGTAACAAAATTAAGGTAATTCCAACCAGAGTAAGAAAACAATCCTGAATAAATAGCAAGCGCAATATAACCAGGTTGCGTATTAGTTCCAGCCATTGGTTGACGAAAATTATCTGTATGACCGGTACAAAGCCACCAGAAACCAGCGACCATGATGATGATCAAAGCAAAGATTTTGGTACCAGTAAATATATCCTGGACCCTTGTCGCCCATTTAACATTGTAACAATTAATTGCAGTTAACAAGCCTAGGGATAATAAGAACAAAAAATATGATTTTTTGGTTACTGTTGAAATCCTTTAATTAAACTTATTACTGTTGCTGATAATGACGATAGTAATAATGTCATCATTTGCATAAAATTTATAATTTTATCTTACACGTAACAACTGCAGCAAGTAATCTTACAGCTTCGTAAGATGGTTCACAATCCGGCCAAGCAGGTTGTAAAATATATTGTGCAAATGTAAGAGCAGTTATAGCGTTTCCCGTTGGAACGAGAATAAATAATGCAACCCAAAGGTAAAGAAATGCTGGTAATGGCCCAAAAGCTTCGCTAATATAGGCGTAGTCACCACCAGATTTTGGTATCATCGTACCTGTAACAGAAAAGAAAAAAAGAAAATAATTCTAATGTGATAAAAGAATGATATTTATACAATTAAATTTTTATCTCATAAAATGTGCGATTTTAAATGAAATGAAATGAAATTAAATGAAAAATAAAAAACGACAGATATGATTATTGTATTTGCTGAAATACTTAAAACGTTAGTCCGCATTATTTGAATTATAGCTACGGTTATTTCTTCATTAAACAAATAGGCCTATCATATCATTACAACGAATATTTCCTAGTTTTCTTTTTTACAAAATTGTTGAAAAGATTTTAAAACAAGATTGTTAAAGACAACAAAAAAAGAAAGAAATTTAAGATTTAAATTATTTAATTTTTTGATTTAAATTATTTTGATCTATAATTTATCACAGGGTTCGTTGATTTTTTGTTAACATCGTTCAAAACATATCAAAAAGATATAATAAATCTTCCGATTCAATATTTAAATATTGATTGAAATTTAAATTTGCAAAAAAACATATTTCTATATCTTATCTCTCTTAGCTAACATAACTGACATAAGATAGAATGATATGATCGACCTATATCGACATAAGACGAACAAGCGCCATTTATAAATTATTCGATTTATACATTTAAATAAATATATGTATACCTGGAAAATCTGCAATGAACTATTAATAAGAATAATTAATTTTATTTTATTTAAATATATAGACGATAATTATACAAAATATTATTATTGAATTATTATATTTTTTGTTAGTCAGTTACTGTAGATCGAAGTATTTCTTATTACTGTTTTTTTTTGTAGGAACTATAGGGTAGTCAAAAACCTGCAGTAAGATGATGCAAGAGTCTATGGTCTTTCGCTGATTAATATCCCATAACATAGGTAAGATAACCGATATAACTGTAACTTTTACCTTTGCAACTTTATCTTTGAAAGAGAAAAAATAATGTTCTTTAATTATTATATAAATAAAATTGTGAAAGATATTAGTTCGATTTAATTGAATCGAAATTTATATGATATCATTTAAACAAATCGATTTTATTGTTTTAGAATACGTGAAAATAACGAAGAATATTATTTTGAGTAAAGTATTATCTCTTTGATTATATTATAAATTGGAAGAAAAACTAGGTTTTTGAATAATTCAAAGCTATGAATATATATACATATATATCAAGGACTCTAAAGTTCATTGCAACAGACGTCAGATTCGCGTCATAGCAACGCGACTAGACTGCAATAGAGTCGATGTTTTCTTGCGGCCACGTGTAAATGGCTTAACTTAAACAATATGTGCGAGTTTTTAAAAGTAATATAAGATAAATAAATAAGAAAATAAATAATGTCATTAAATTAAATCATTAAACTCACCTAATTCTGCATAACAGAGAGCACCTATTAGTGAAAGTACACCAGAAAATATCCATACAATCAAAGCTTGCCCGACACTACCACTGTTGATAAGGACTCCTTTCGGTGAAACAAATATACCAGCACCAACGATTATACCAACGATAATAGCAACCCCATCGAGTAATCCCAATTCTTTTTTTAATTTCACACCACTGTCCTCGTTGTCATTATTTTCGGATATATTTTTTTTCGAAATCTGAAGCACGACCATTTGCCTCTCGGCTGGTGCTACCTTGTCCGGCATGTTCTTTTTCTTTTTAAAATATTTCTTTTCTAATTTTTTTTCTTTTAGTTATGTAAAATTTATTTGAAAAAATAATATGATGCAATATAATGGCGAATTGATCGAATTACGGGGTCTTCCAAGAACAACGTCGTTTCGTTACGACCCACTCAAAGGTTCGAATTCTTATGAACATACCTCTTCCCAAACATACGAACGAAATGAGCGCGTGTTCTTCGAACATGTGGTTCTACACCAGTTTTATAGTGGGGGAAAGTATAAGTGGGGGAAAACGACTATCTTCGGCCAACTTCAGCTAACTATATTAGTCATCGCTGAAACTTCCCTTCAAAAGGTAGAAACGTGTTTCTTTCTCACTACTTGTCAGTTACATTTCTTCTATTTGAAATATTGCACTAAGCACTCTCTCTTCTCTCTCTTTCTTTCTTATTTTCTTAATACGTTCATTAGATTATTTTCTGTGGAAATAAATATAGATACATCTCGATCGAAGTTCACACGTTTGTCGATAAAAAAGGAAGAAAGAGAACATATCGCTATCGTTTAATTTCGATTATATTCGTTTCTATCGTATATTTGTTTTTATATGATAACAAAAATAACTATCGACGATAAGATAAACATTGTTTAATTAACAAGAATATTAAATAAACAAAATTTAATTTAATTTTTGTTTTAATTTAGCAAACTAGTTACAAATAAAATTCTATCGATATTTTCCCGCGCCGAAATAGCAGATGATGCGGTATTCGAGTGTACCTGCATTCACGGTATTGATTTTCTCAGGACTTCCGGTGTCTACTTCTTAAGAAATATGTACCACGTATATTTACAAACATTTGATATTCATGTAGGAATAATTTTATTGGCACGAATGTAACTTGATAAACATTACAAATAGAATAGCGATTTATTTTAACGTCGAACAGAAAATGTATATTATTCGATAGAATTTAAAGAAAACCGAGCATAAATTTTGAACGCTGCGTAGCATTAAAAATAATACGATTGTATCGAACGTATGTATCACTTCCGGTAAGAAAGCATGGATCTTTCATTCATCTTTGTTCATCCCTCACGATGCACTTCACTTATTTATTTATTTATTTATATTTCACTAAAATTTCCATTGCACTAAACTAATTATTATTAATAAATAAAACTATATTTCTGTCTATTTTGAATCACTATAAACATTTCACCGTAAATATATTTATAGAGAGATTTAAATTTTTACAAAATTATTGTAAACATAATGTTTCTTTGACGATCATTCGAACGATAATTTTTTCTACGACGGAATAAATGCAAAGAATCGATAATAAGAAGGAACATCGTGATTTTCCGGTGTTTGCCCGGACGTGTCACGATTTATTGTGAATTTCTTCTGAATCTCGCGTGAAGCACATACGCTGAAGGGATTAGAAATACTGCGTGTTAAAACGCTTCAACGATAAAGTCTCTTCTTGGGGACACCCATTGCTGACATTGGTATAGAGACTTAATTTCATGATCGTCAATGTAAAATGTAATAATCATTGTTCAAATTTTGTATTCCTACGCTTATGCTTAGTAGTCTGTTACGAGGGCCCAGTGATGCACAACCTTTTATCTTTCTTCTGTCGATTAAACTTATCGTTGATTCTTTCTTATTTTTATTTCTTTTTTTATTCTTTTTTTATCCTTTTTTTATCCTTTTTTTAAGTAATTACTTTAAATTATTAATATTAATCATTTCACTGCAGTCTGTGTAAAAAATGTATTCAATTTTATTTAATATACTTGAGAATATCGAGTATCAAATCAGATTGCTTTATACGTTTTTTCTGAATTTTCTAATCTTATCGATCGTACAGCAAAATATAAACATAGACATTTATTGTTATAAAGCACATTTTTCGTTTATGATTTATAATTAATTTAACACGTCAATTGTCACGTTGTTAATTATCCGTTTGGTTTATCAATGGAAGCTATGTGTTCAATCATGACAACAGCTTTATATATTGTTTTTTATCTTTTATCTTTAAAAATTATGGCCTCTATGGCAAAATACATACAGTCAACATGTTAATAATATTCTTTTTTTTTTGTTTTATGTTAGATGATAAAAAAGAAAATGGTTGCAAACCACTGCATTGAGAACTTCCGTTACTCGTTTCTCCCCCTTTTATTCTTCCAGCGGCCGCAGGAGTATGCTTATTGTTAAAATTATTTTGTTTAATGCCAAAAGAGTCGATCCTCATAAAGCTTTTCATCTTATAAACAACGTTCTTAGGCTTTTGAAAAATGTCTATTTATAGATATTACAAAATAATTAAAAAACTATTTTTTTATATTTTATTTTATCTTTAACGTGACTAAAGTTCATTTGAATATTTTTTAACTTGTTTTGTTTCTAGTATTCTTCAGTGACCGTAAGATTATTGATTATTATTTGGCCTAATAGCAAATGAATTGACCATTGCAAAAAGTTTATCAGTAGATAGAAAAAATCCATAATTTTATTGCAAAATTATTTATTTGCAAGACAACATAGTAATTATTAAGAATAATTATTATCATTTTTTTTTTTATTAAACTTATATAAATTTGAATTATTTTATATATTTTTTTTATTGATTGGAATAATTGACCGTTCAACTAGAAATAAGAATATTAGTTAGTATAATATAGAGATTCTGGTTTGACTATGCAAAAAAATATTATCGCTGTTACAATTATGATAATGTGAAATATAATACACGAATGTGAGTTTAAGATAGACAACTAAAACGTAGCAAAATTTAGTAATGGCCTATTATTTACATTTCAAAAGTCTAGACACAAAGTTTACTTGTAACTTTTTATCTGATTAACTCTACACCAAATTTTATTTTGTGATCTTATGAAATTTGAAACTTAGAAAATTAGCTAATTAAGACTTGACTAAGTAAATCTTGTCATTTTAATATCATCTATATATTAAAAAAAAATATATATTTTTATTTATTTATTTTTAATACTAATAATTATTTAATGCGATATGCATTGATTGAAAAGTCAATTAAATTTATGAACATTCTTGTTCTGTAACAATGCAATAATTTAAACAATTTTTTTCTCAATGTTCGAGTGTATTTATATCATTTAATTACTTTTTAAAAAGTTGAAATTCAATTGTCAATTTAATTTGGTAAAGGTTAGTTTCAAGCTCAGACTGAAATACCGACCGATTTTCTAATAGAATTAGGTTTAGAATAAAAATAGCATTTCTAAATGAATCTTAGATAAATTCTAAACTGCATTTTTTAAATATCCACGAATTTAAGTAATATGAAAATAATGATAAAATGTATAATAATTTAAATTAGTTATAATCTTATCACGAGAAATTATTTTTAAATTAGGAAACATTTTAAAATATTCGATATGATTAAACACGTGGGAATTTTTCAATGATACAACGTTGATAGATTAAACTAATTTTAAAATAGAATGTATTAAGAAATATATTTGCGTAGATTTTCAATTTTAGGAAAGTTACCATGACATTCTGATTCAGATCCAAGCATGTGTTGTGTGTAAATGGAAAGACAAAGTAATTTAAAAAAAAAAAGAGAAAAAGTAATAGGATTAAAACAACTCGTTTTCTGTGATCTGATTATTTATTATACAAAAATAGTTAGCTAATAATATTAAATATTGTAATATGTAAAAGTTGATTTCCTTGTACGAATTATCTGTGTCGATAACACATATTATCACACGGTATTATACACATATTAGATACGATATATACATTATATATTAATTATTTTATTTTATCTTATTAATTATTAACATTTATTTATTAATAACATTTTGTATATTTAACGAATTGTATAAAAAATACTTAAAATATTTTTTTAATTTTAAATAATATTTATTTTCGGGATCAATGATATGTGGCGTCATCTGCAGTATTATGAGCGAACAATCGCCATTGCATTACCGACTGCATCATTCCACCATTTTTAACTTACAAGCTTGTCAACTCGAATGGCTCGAAGTAAATATTATTTCGAGTCCTAATTTTTGTCAACAAAAATGAATAACATCGAAATAGAAGATTTTTATCATCACGATTTCACGACTGCTACAGAATGGGAAGTTTTTATTGCACGTTTGGAAGAAATTATGCACGAGTGGAAAGTGTCAGACAAAAGAAATGGTCCAGCTTTGAAATCCGGTGATTTTATTCATTCTCAGTGGAAAAATAATAGGGAAAACATTAATTTTGCAGGTACGTTTATTCTTGTGTATATTCTTTTATTTATTTTAAAGGTATGAACGTTTATTTGATGTATTGTCAACACAGTAAAATATTTCTTAACCTATTTTACGATATATATTTTCTTAACCTTTTTGACGATGCATATTTTCTTTTGTTAACTCTTTACATTGTACTTTTAGATGTTGAATTTACATTCAAACACTTCAGGCTTATATTAGAAAATGATGAAAGTAAGGAAAGTCCATTGGAAGATGATGATGAGAGAACCGAATGTCAGAAAGATATATTTGATTCATCGAATGATTTTGTTCGTATTGACCAAGAACATTTAGAAATAGCACCTTATTTTGGAGTCAGAGAATTTCTTGTTTTGGTTCCGGGAAAAAGACATTCTATTATAGAAGAGACACGTATGAAGATTTTATTAAGTTCCATTACAATTGCTGCTAATAATACGAATTGGTAATTGCATTAAAATCAATGTTCGACATACACTTCATAAACGTTATATTAATTTATTATAATATTTTAGCGAAGTACCTATCTTTGTGCAAGTGCAAGAACCATGGCAAAAAATGTATCTTGGTACAAGTGTTGGTAGAGGCAGTTCGGTTAACTTCGAGATGGTACATCTGAAGAAGATACCACCGCATTGTAAATATCTTACTGGTGAGTATACATTTCAAAGTCTTATTTAAATAATTATTGATAGTAAAATTGTATCCTTTGTTATAGCATTTTGGATTATTAAATTTATTTATACAAGTTTACTTTAAGCATATGCTATTATTTTACAGATGTAGATTATTTGCAGGTTTACTTGCCGTATTCAAACAGAAGATCACAGAAGGCTGTGGTGTGAGGTTAGATCCAGTATTAGTTTCAGTAAGATTTTCATATTTATTGAGGGATTGGACATGCAGTACTTGGACACAACAGCCTCCTGATTTTGATTTCATGCAAGGAGAGACGCTTGGTGTAGCTGAATTAGGAAAGCTTCCATTTGGAGCAACTTTTGATCCTATTGGGTAAGATACTCAGAGTCGTAGAAAATCTTTTTCTAACTTAATAGAAATAATCTATTACTGAATTTATTATACATTTAGAGAACTTCATTTGTATACCACCTGGCCTATAATGTCAGAGCACGTTGTAGTAGATAGCGAAGGATTCACTGACTTAGAACCACAGTTAGCACCAGAGTGGTCTGTTCAAGTTACAATGGTACCTTCGCCTGCTTGTTTGCTTGGAGATTATTTAACAGATTTTCTACATCTTTGTAATGATCAAAGAGGCATGGTTGATTTATTAGGTGATAACGCTATGTTTCTTGGCGACGATGAGAGCAATTTGAGTGCTGCATTTAGTATATTAAGTGAATCAAAAATTCCTACAATTTCTTCGGTCATCGGTAAAGGAAACACGAAGAAACCAAAGAATGTTGAAGGTCCTATTTCTGAAGAAATATTGTTACCTATATTGTATTTTCTTTTCCCCGATACTGAAGATAATCCTGTAAGTAAGAATTTATTTGATTCGAATATTTATCTTTGCCAAAGAATAATTAAACGAATTTCATTCAGAAAACACCATACGGAGATATGAGTATGTATTACGAAGAGGAACAGTGGAAAGGAGTGAAGACTTGTATAATTGACAGCTTGATATGGCGTCTTGCAGTCGTAGCCGCACATTGCACACATAATTTAGGAGGAGCCACAGCATTAGCTCAACTTTGGCACGAGTTCGTTATGGAAATAAGATTTCGTAGAGAATCGGATATACTTATACCAGGGTGAGTCATTTTATTGATTCTTCTAATAATTAGAAAAAAAAGAAAGAAAAAAAGAAGTATGATGGATTTTAATCTCTAACGCAATTTTTTTTTCAATGCGTTTTCTTAATTAATTGGACAATAACGCACTTAACTTTTCGGTGCACGTTTTATATCTATATTTAATATTCATTTAGATTAAAATATTATTTTGTTGTCGAATGCACTTCACCTAGTGATGCAGTCTCTCTTTGGGTATATAAATACGATCAGCGAATACTTATTTAAAATAAGATCATAGTTTGAACAAATCGATGAATAATTGTTTAACTCCATGGTACTTTATATTACAAGTACCAAAGTTACACAATTTATAAAAAATGATCGATACGATAATTTAAACAATAGTTATCATTCGATTCGATCTAGCTTATTACTAACTTAGTCTAATAACGAGTACATTGTTGTACATTGATGCATCAAATCATTGCATCTGATCAAATAGACTGATTGAACACACGGTTTGTTAAAACCGATGATCATACTGGCATCAGGCCGCTTCTCGTTGTTGGATTACGTGTCATGTATATATCCATGTCGTGATCGGTCCAATTATTTTCATCATAATTATTCAATGTATGCGTGGAGTCAGCTAAACTGTACCGACTGCCAGGCCTTGGCGGATTTTGTTCCAAAGTACGATTACGTGATCTTGGTCGTTGTCTTCTAGAGGAGGCATGAGGTGGCATATGATTATTCGTGTAATTACTTCGCGACATTCTATCCGAACCTGCTGCTAACGATTGACGTGACTGACGTAATTCTATAATCGGAAAGTTACCCGTTAATTATATTTATTAATACAACTTTATAGTTCTATTTCTTTTAATTTTTTTAATTTAATTTTTTTTTTTTTAATAAATACCTGGTCTAGAATTTACGAGATTAGATCCTAAAGTAGTGTTAGCAAAATATCGCGTTGAGTTATTAGAAAAACTGTGTTGCGATTGTCCATCAGCAACGGAACGTGTAGATATTTTACCACCATAGTGAACTGTTTGAGAACGAACATCGTCAATACAAGAAGCTCTGGTAATTGAACCTAAGGATTAGAGAAAACAAATGTATTAATTTTAAATTGTTTAATAGATTTCAGGTATAGCTAGAATATTCATACCTTGTCGATCTACTGGAAAAATTCTAGGTCTCGGTATACTTCTGTTACTATAAGCTGATACTTGATCCCATTCCTTTTGAGGATTGTAAGCACTTAAGGTTGCCATAGAAGAAAGAGGTCCTCCTGGGCTTGGCGTTGGGCCACCAGTTGAGCAACAATTAACCGGCAATCCTGCTATAGGTCCACCCATGTTAGTTTGATCAATACTATGAAGCGTGTGAAGTTTACGAGCTCTTCTTCTGTTGGCTACCACGAAAATTATCACCGCAACTACTATAGTTGCACATATGGCTGCACTAGCAGCTATAGTAATTTTGTCCATATTAGAAGTCGGCGAATTTTCTGTTCTAACTTCTCTGCATTGTTGATAGGGTACATTTGCTGGCATTAGGTTGGTTTCTTCCAATGAAACGACACATACTATGATACATTCCTGTAGAAATGAAATTAATCATTAATTTATCTTTTTATTTGTTTTCTTTTCATTTAATTCAAAGTATTTATTATACCTGATATGGTACGTTTTTTATTTTAAATTCACGCTCGCTAGCATCAAGAGGTGGAGCTTGTTCAAAACTATCGTCTCCAAATAATCGATAGATCACACGAAATCCTAAACTCTTAGGTGCTTTCGTGTCCCAATAGATGATCACTGAGTTATCTTGTCTAAGAACATCCTTCACTATGATATCTCTATCGTTTGATTTAGCTTTGTAAAGAGGAGAACCAAGAACCAAAGGAGGTCTTGGTTGATGCTGTTGAGGTTGATCCTGAACATATTTAGGTGGACTTAACGTAGTTCTCATTATAACCACATTTCCTGTTCGAGCTGCAGTTGGTCTGTTAGTCGTCGAAGTAAACATAGTCGAAGTTTGAGGTGCTTCGGTTGTTTTTCTAAATTCTGTAGTTGAAAATATCGTCGTTGTCGAAGGTGTTATAGTCGATGTAGTAGTAGTAGTAGTAGTAGTAGTAGTAGTCGTTTGGGTGGGAATCTGTGGTCTTATCGTTGAATGATGCGTAGCAACACCTAGATTATCACTTGGCCCAGTTGGTTCTCTCGTATCAACACTTTCAACAGTGCCGATTCCAATAATTTCTGGTGTTCTTTCACATGTCATATCTAGGATGATTATCGTCGAGTTAGCAAGATATCTTTTTTAAAATAATTGTTAAGATTTAATTATCTTACCGTTTATATCAATGTTGTAAAAATTTTTATCTTGTAATCTCTGAGGGCTACCACAAAATGGTGGTTTACGTTCACGACTAGTTACTTGAAGATCCCTAGTTTTGATCCAATCGACGATCCAACGTAATTTGCAATCGCACACAAGAAATCTTCCTCCTAAGCTCAGTCCTCTGAGAGTACCATTCAGTCTAGCCAATGCACGTTCTGGTACAGTGGACAAAGGATTTCCATCGATAGCGAGAAGCGTTACAGATGGATTACCTTGAAAAGCATTCACTGGTAACTCTGTTATTAGATTGAATCCGATGTCTAGAACCTATTGAAACAAATAAATTAATAAAATCATTATTAAAATAAGATCTAAATTTTATCATTTATAAATTTTCATACCCTAAGATCATGGATACTGTTGATTGCAGCAGTTGGAAAATCAGAAATGAGATTGTTTAACAAACTCAAAGAACTCAGAGTATTCCTGACGCCATAGAAAGCATTTGGTCCAATAGCTTGAATCAAGTTTCTTTCAAGATTGAGCCCAGTCAACGAGTCTAATCCTTCGAAAGCTTTGATACCAGCAGAGCCAGGTAATTCCTCTATACTATTTTGAGATAGATCCAGAAAAGCCAAAGCTTTGAGACCTCTTAATGCTTCTGGTACTTTCTTTTGTTTTGTACCTTTAAGATTAAGATTTTTCAAGGTTGCTTCCAAACCTTTAAAGGCTTCTGACGAGAGAGCGACTTCATTGTCAGACAATTTTAAAGTAACCAGTTTTAATCCTGCAAAGGCATCATCAGGAACTTTAGTAATCTTATTCATCGATAGATCCAACACTGTTAGATTCTTTAGAGTCTTTAATGTTTCGATAGGTAACTCTTTCAACTCGTTATCTTTCAAATTAAGACTCTTCAATGTATTTTCTTGGCCCATGAATGCCTCAGTTTCAATCATTGATATACGACAGCCTGATAATTGTATATTATTGATTCTTAACGCTGAAAGAGATTCATTTTTCAAAGTACCAATGGTACTATTATTAATATAAAAGAGATCAACTGTAATTTTTGAAGCATATCGCTTCATAGCCGATAATAGTTGACCATAATCAACTATATCGCATTGTACCGATAACTCTCTAGCAAGATTGTAATCGCAGATGCAAGAGTTTTCTAGTTCAGCAACGCTTTGTGCCCATGGACAAGCTGAGGTTGCATCAACTATGCATATCGTGCCTGCTAATAGCAGTAGTAACGTCTTGATCATCAGTGTATCTGTAAAGAAAAAGAAAAATATAACTTAATTAATCGTTGCAAATTATTATCTATTATTTTATAACAAATTTTATAGAATAAAATAATTTATGTTCATTTTGACTATATACAGTGTTAGTAGATATCAAAAAGTCTAGCCATTTAAATCATTGAGTAAACGTTTTTGTAGATACATCGTTTAAATCATTGACTGGATTTTATTTTGTAGACACATCGTTTGAATCATTGATTAAATTTTTTTAATAGATCCCAAAAGAAGGGATATTTTACATAACACGTTCGAGGAATTATAAAATCGTAAGAAAAATTCGATGTTAGATCACCGCAAGTTGGTAAGACGTTTTAGGAAAATCATCGAAGCCGATGAAAACTGGACTCGTGTAGTCTTGAAAGGCTTGAACACAGTCCATAGGGCATAGACCGAACCCGTTACGAGTCAATGGCCGGAGTATATACGTGTCCTCAGTTCAATCTTCCTATCGATAGCACACAGATAATCGTAGAAATTTTTTTACTTCTTCTCTCATTGCGTCATTGAATAAAAATTCTATAATCATTTAAATATTGCACCGAAATATAAATAATTAAACGATTGACAAATAATTATACAGAACATTTGATATTAATGTTTATTTTATTTCGACATAAACCAAGGTGAAAGTCATTGAAATTGAATCTTTTTTTTTTTCGTTTTGGTATATGATCGCGTTTAAATCATTTATAGTAATTAGAAGGTTCGAAGATTTTCTTAGGACAGTTTCACTATCTCTTACCATTCTCACGTCTTCTATCTTTTTTTTCTTTATGTTACATAGAAGTTAAAAGAAATAGAAAAAGAATAAAACAAAACAAAAAATACTAGAGATCTAATTTCAGTCCTCCATCGTGTGTTTCTTTCTTCTTTTCAAGTCAGTTATTGCGCTATCAAGCAATGCAACGCAACGCAACGCAACACAATTTCAAGATTCGTGCTTACGTATATGGGGAGAAACAGAACGTTTCTTCGTTACTGAAAATCATTACAGCGTGTAAGGATCGCTCGTAATACCAGCTACTTCTGGATTTCTGCTTTTATGCACTTTGCCGATCTAGTTCTATCCTTTTCGTTTATTTTATTCTTTTTTTCTTTTTTAAATTCCTTTTAAACGATCATCTCATTTTTCTTACCACAATTAATTGTTGATATTGCAAACTATTAGATTAAAAGTAATTAATTAATTGATTAATTGAAAAATATTATATTTTATCTTTATTTAAAAACAAAAATAAACAAAAATAATATATCATAAGTATCATAGCAAATGTATGATAAATTTAAATATTATAGTTAAATAATATCAAATATATAAATATAATAAGATAAAATAAAATATAATAAGTTAAATAATAAATAATTAGTGAATTAAGTTTCGGAATTTTGGTTAGAGAGGAAGGGAAGGGAAAGGGGCTTGACAAAAGAAAACTAAATTCACATGGAAAAGTAAAAAGAAGAAGAAATTGTCTTTTGTGAGAGAATAATTTAAATTAGGCATATAACTTCCCGTTTCTAGCGCGATGGACTTAGGTGATAGCTTTTAACCTGCTTTCGGGTAGAACAATTCCTAAACACAGTAAGTCACCTACATTAAGCTCGAGCGTGTGCACATTCTTTGCATTCGTGCACAATGAATGGAGCTATTTGCAAAACCTTTCACTCGTGCTTCACTTACGGAAGAAGAACGACAATCTTGTTCCATTTATCTTCTTGAAATCATTATCATCATCATCTCACTAATTATTTCATATATTTATTTATTGATCTTTTTTTTTTTTAATAATAAATAAAATAATTATAGTAAAGAAAGAGAGAACAAAATTAAAGAATTTTGTATCCAAATGTTAGACATTCTTGGGTGATTACGTCAAAAAAAAAGAATTTTATTATTCACCTAAAAGGTCGTAGTTATATAAATTCAAGGTAAACTCGTGTCCCCCGATCGTAGAAATATTTTTCATTGTGGTTTATAGATCGATAAAATATTTTTTTTCTATCTTCCTTTTTTTTACTCAATTCAAAATTCGACAACGAAAAAGAAATAAATCAAATCAAATAGAAATTTATTTGTTAATCATTTAGAAAATATGATAATGTGTCATTATAGCATCGTTAGTATTTATTTAAGAATTTCTCAAGAAGTTGATATTTGAAAAATGGTTACTTTATATATATATAAATATATATCGGTTTGAACCTTCTTTCGTAGAATCAAAATAGACGGAACACAACTGGTTATATTAATTAATTACTTAAATCAAGCACCGTTGCAATACGGATCTTGGAATACTTGTTAACGAGAGCAGAATAAAAGTTAACTTAAATATAACCGTAGACATATATTATAATCGACTCATTTTAAATGAATTATATATATACATACATACATACATACTTAAATAAATCCGAATTTAATTATTATTCTCATTCGATATTATATTCTAATTTTTAGGAAATAAAAACAAAAAGGTAGATATAGTAATAACAATGAATAATTTTTTTTTCTTGGGTTTTTTTTTATAAATTAATTTTTTTTTATCGAAACCGGATTGTAGTGCATTAATAATGAATTATTATGATCTTAATTTGTTACGCTCGTTAACATCAAACCAATAGTGTTAAATATTATCAGAGTATGACTAGGTTGAAGCTTTCTAAAGGTTTTTTTTTTTAAATCTTAGTGTCAGTGACCTTGGAAGTGAATAAAAAGATTATTATATATATATATATATTTATTAAAATTAGAGAAAAGAGAAAAAATATATTACATGTCTACTTATCAGCATACTAATTTCGTATTAATAATAATAGAGGGGACAAATAATGAATTAAACGAATGAAATAAATAACATAGTAAGAATCTTTCAAGTGTTACATCATTTTCCGCACGAGATCGTTAAAGTAATGTCGATCATAAAACCGTAAAATAAGAGATGATCTTATTACATTAAATGTTATTGAACTTTCAGTATATCATAAACATATATATTTATTTTTTATTTTATTTTACATCAAAAACATAATAATTATAATTGTTTATTAAATTATCTATATTTTCTTATCTTCGTGGACGCGTTTTTTTATATTTTATTTTTCGTTAAATATAATAATAATGTTAATGATAATGATAATATAAATATATATATATATATATAAAGGATTAGAATCATGCATGAATGCATGTACAAATTAAGAAACAGTATATTATGCATAATAATCAAAGGTATCATTAGTTTCATCCCATCTAACGTAAAACGAGGTATTAGACTGTGAAATAAATCATAAGGATCCTTGAACGATTCATTTTCATTTATCTTACCATTAACCTTGTACGTTTATATTTTCTAATCATTAGAAAACGAGTCAAAAGATAAAAAATAAAAAGAATAATATCATTGATCAATGATGATATTATCAATCTTATTAGAAACACATCGAATAAAATATAAAAAAAAAAAAATAATAATAAATAGAGAAAGATAATAAAGAAATAAGAGATCAGTGAAAGTGATGAAAACATAGAGATTCAAATGATTTCTCTCTTATTTAGGATAATTTCTCTGATTGAGAATGATTATAAGTATAATCCACATAAAATTTACAATTATAAGATATTTAGGATTTCCTATAGTTTGGAGAATTATAGGTAGATTGAAATATATATATATATATATATATATATGATACACGTGCATGGGGTGCAACTAAACTTGCTTAGGAATCTAAGCCTTTCACTTTCGTTCTCTTTTGACTCTTCGTCTCTCTTTTTCTCTTTCTCTCATATTTTTTTTCTCCCTTCTTTCTTTCAAACGCAAGATCGAAATGTATGATAAAGATTTTCTATTGGGTATGTACTTAGTGTATATTAGAATGTGTTTGATACACTGGTCAGATTAACTCGGACTTGTACTTTAATAGTATTTATCTTTCACTTTAAATCGATTCTTTGCATGGTTCTCACGCTATATTCTCCTTTTTTTTTATATTTTTAAATTTATTTTGAAGGGTCTAGTACTTATACTTACTGCACGACCAATAGCATTTATCTTTTACTAGTAATTAATCCTTGTCTATAGTTCAATATAGTTTTATTTCTTTTTTTTATTCGTTGATTCATTCAATCATTGTAGAATTTTTTTTATTTTTTTTCTTTTTTCTGAAGGACCCAAAATATGCACACTTTTATTCACGTTTCATTCGAACAATATTAATTCGTTGATGTTTTTTCATTTTTATTTTTTTTTAATTTTCATTTTATTTTATTTTATTTTTTATATTTATTATTAGCATTTATTATTATTAGCGTTTTATTTGAATAATTGAATTTGTTGATTTAAATAATTAAAAGAAAAACTATAAATAGTTGTGTTGAAATATTCCAAGTGTCCGTTTATGTTTAATTAAAATAAACACGTAGAAGAGAGAGAGAGAGAGAAGAAATAGTTGAAATAATTGAAATTATTGTAAGATCAATGCGAGACCAGTTTGTTAAAGAATATGATGTTACCAAAGTGTGTTGGTGAATCCTTGCGTTGGTTGCGTAAATTCTCTCTTACGTGTACCATTCATCTCAAATGTTATATACGAGAAAGTGGAAAACATTTCTCGACTCGAATCGAATTTTTAAATACTTTTTTTTTTCACAATCCCACTCGAGGAATTGCTTTTATGCATTTGCATTTTATCTAACTTCCTGATTGTTGTTTTTTTTTTATTTATCATTGAATTGTAATTTCTTATTTTTTTTTTTTAAATTTAATTTTGTCATTTAAATTTCCGACAATGAAACGAACTTGTTCTACTTCCAAATAATAATGGTATTCATTACCTTTTTTTTTTTGTTCATTCGTTCTCTCATAATCGTTTCTATACTTGGAAGTATAAGGAACAATGGAGAAATTGCATCGTATATATGGTGAAAGAACAAAAAATTATGTGTATATATATATATAGAAAGAAATGAAGC